TATATTTATGTGGCTATTACTTCTGATCAAGTACAGTTTGAGGTTTTATAACAATAAAGATGTACATACAGTACATTCAATACAGTACAATAGAAGACTAAATAAGTGTATTAACTTACATACCTAATTTATAGACTAACAACTTAAACTCATGGCAGTTTCAAGCATTAAAAAAACCCATCAAATAGAAATAAATTATCCCAAATATAAAGCCATATCCTAGTGTCTGAAGTATGGACATCAAAGGCACTACAAAATGTTTGAGCTTTCTTTACTGCTTTCTAGAATGAAATTTGGGATCTAAGCAGCATCTTGTTTCATACATGTGGGCATAACACAAAACCCAGTGTACTCTACCCACCCACGCTTCCTCCAGTCTTCTTAGCATCTCCTTGTAACTGATCACACCAGACAGCATGGTTGTCCCTGAAGAGGCAGTAGTCAAGCAGATACCTAAGCCATAACTTTAAAGAGTTACTTTCATCTCCATCCCTTCCTTCTTCTCTGTAATCCCAGCCTACTCAGATACAAAAAATGAACCAGTGTGAAAAAAAAGTGCCTGAACTGATAGACTTCAGGAGATGAGAATTCAAAGGCCTTCAACCATACTCATCCTGAGCATTACAAAATATTTCACATTTGTTGCATCACATTTTGATTCCTTATCACATATAATATGCTGCTGGAAACAACTGAGTGTATAATTCCCAAATCCATTTGAATGCCCCCATCACTTATAACTTTTTGTTTTCATTCTCTGTCTTTCATCAGCTTTTTTTTTTCCTGTTCTTGCTCTGAATCCAAACAAACAATCTTTGTGGAGAATTTCTGTCTTCCTTGCATGTCCTTTGTGTCTGGTCTACTAAAGAATCTACTAAAGACATCTTTAAAAAGTACATTTAAACGTCACGTCCTCCTTTTGTCTACTCAAAACTGATTGAGAATATCGGAAACATGGTTGTTTTGTTTTAATTCAAGTGGAAAAAAATCAGATGAATCAAAGCGCTTCCTATAGAGCTAAGGCATTTCAAGTGAGGAAAAAATAAATTGGAAGAGTCATAACAAGCTAGGTTTTGGGTACATTCCAGCATTATTCTGTTAATCATTAGAAGCAATAATAATTTTTGGACTTATTCCAGACACATTTTCCATGAAAGGAACAACGTGCCAGCTGAACATAAGAAAAAGATTCATAGCATTAACACTCCAACAAATTATTTGATTTCTAAAGAAATCTCCTTTTGTCAAAATGAACCCATTGCAGCACAAATTCATTTTCTATGACACATAGCTATGTAACTATCATGTCTTCTTAATCAATGTTGCAGCCAGTTCTTGCCAATTCCTATCCTCTTATCATTTTTTTCTACTACTTCTCATGTAATTTGTTGAAAGTGAATTTGCTTTAGAATTATTTTGTGAAAATAAAGAGAATTTCAGCAACTACTTATAGGGTAGTGCTCGTTTCAGCTAGTCAAAGATGAGTGTATATATCCTGTTTCTCACTGTGCCACTGGAGGCTCTGATGCTTCTAGTTTTTTTATATTTCAGTTCTATTGCAAGGGAAAAATTCCCTTCTTTTTTTAGATGGTGCAGCATGAGAAGTCAGGAAAAGACGAATAATAACAAGCAACACTATCACTCTACAGGTCAACCTGTATTGATGTTTTGCTCTTGGCCTTAAAAATAGCATCTTTAGTTGTTGTACACTTGTAGTAAATCTTTCATCAAATCATGAATTCATCTCAGGCTTCATCTACCTAAGCAGATTTACCTAAGCAGACAGTACCCAAAGATATCACCCAAAAGAGAGATTGTTCATAGGCAATCCAAGTCCATTTCCAGGAGCTGTCTACAGCTGGGAGATTTGAGGCACACACCCCTTCCCGCAAATCTTAACAAACCCAGGTTGCTCCTTAAATATCAGCAGCTTCTGACTACTGCTTAGGCCTGGTTTCCTTCAGCAAATTACCTGTCAGGAGTCCTGCAAAGTCTAGTGGTCTCTAGTGTAGTCCAGCACTCTTCTTCCTCTTGTCTTTGGATCATTAGGTCTTCTTAAGCCTTAGTTCTTCTTGCTGAAGGTTGGGGGGAAAGGTTCGTGGTGTAGATCAGAATCAGCTGGATCCCAGTGCATGTATGCATATAGTTACAGTCTGCTGAATCAATGGCAGGGACAACAGGCCTGCTTCCTGGTTTGTATAATGTGGCAGTGCAGCGTCCAAATTCTTGCAGTGAATCTTTCTGTTTCTCTTCTTCATCAGAGGAGATCCCTTGAGATCAGCCCATTAGACATTAAAAGAGATTGCCACCATATTAGAAAGAAAGGAAAGTAAGAAGAGGTTGACCTATCTAAGTCATCTATTAGGACTTGCCAGAATCACAGAAATTGCAAAACCATTTGCCAAAGCTGTACCAATATGACTCAGAGGAATTTTTTTGGTAATGTCTTTGGCTTATGCTGTATTGGATTTTGTTTCTATTTTAATCCTGTTTTATGTGTATGTGTGTGTGTGGGGGGTTGTATGCATGTATAATATATATTGATGTTTCCTATGGGTTGCAATAGCATAATAGTTTGCAAAGAAGTACAAGTGATCAGATCTAATTTGCAGAAATCTCAATCAAATACAGATACAGATTAACAGAGTTGAAAGGGACCTTGTAGGTCATCTAGTCCAACCCTCCCACCCAAACAGGAGACCCTACACCATTTTTGACAGATGGCAGTCCAATCTGTTCTTGAAAACTGTTGATGAAGCTCCCACAACTTCTGAAGGCAAGTGGTTCCATTAGTTGATCTCACTGTCAGAAAATTTCTTGTTATTTCCAGGTTGAATCTCTACGAGCTCAGTTTCTATCCATTATTCCTTGTCTGGCCTTCAGGTGCTTTGGAAAAAACTTGATCTCCTCCTCTCTGTGGCAGCCCCTCAAATATTGGAATACCACTATCATGTCTCCCCTGGTCCTTCTCTTCACTGGACTAGCCACGCCCACTTCCTGCAACCGTTCATCGAATGTTTTAGCTCAGGGGTCCTCAACCACCGGGCCGCGGACCGGTACCGGTCCGTGGAGCACTCTGTACCGGGCCGCAAAGAATTTTTTTTTTAAAAAATGGCGGCTTTCTTCGCCTTCGGTGAATGCTGCTGGGATCGGGGATCAAGGACACAAATGAAAGAAGGGGAGGGAGGAAGCAACCGAAGCCTGTCCTGCTCTCTGGCTCAGCAGCTTCGGTTTCCTCCCGCCTCGTTCCTCTCTCAGTCGCTCTCTCGCTGCTCCACCAGCCCAGGAAGAAACTGCTTCAAAGAAGCCGGGGGGGAGGTGGCTTTTCCTGTCGCCGCAGCTCCTCCGAAGCGCCCGTTTACCCCCACCCCGCCCGCCCGCGCGCGCTTCAATTCAGTGCTCCGTTCTGCCTGCCTGCCTGTCTGGTTTTTTGGGAGCAGCTTTGGCTGAGAATAATAACTATTCGCCTCTTTTTATCAGCCGAAGCTGCTCCGAAACGAAGGCAGGCAGGCAGGCAGGCAGAACGGAGCACTGGGTTGAACCGTGGGCGGGCGGGCGGGGTGGGGGTAAATGGGCGCTTCGGAGGAGCTGCAGTGACAGGAAAAGCCACCACCCCCCCGGCTTCTTTGAAGCAGTTTCTTCCTGGGCTGGTGGAGCAGCGAGAGAGCGACTGAGAGAGGAACGAGGCAGACACCTGAGGGAGGGAGGGAGACACCTGAGGGATGGGGCTGAGGGAGGCAGGGCCGAGGCGCTCCCTGAACTTGGTGGTTTGCTGGCAGACGTTTTATTACCCGACTAGGTAACAACATCAGATGTTACCTAGTCAGGTAATGAAACGTCTGCAAGCAAACCACCAAACTCGGATTCTTATCCCCCCCCCGTCCTTGAAAAAGTGTTTGTGCTTGAAACTGGTCCCTGGTACAAAAAAGGTTGGGGACCACTGTTTTAGCTTCCAGTCCCCTAATCATCCTGGTTGCCCTTCTCTGCACTTTTTCTAGAGTCTCAACATCTTTTTTATATGTGGTGACCAAAACTGGATGCAGTACTCTCGGTGTGGTTTTACTAAGGCTTTATAGAATGGTATTAGTACCTCCCTTGATCTTGATTGTATCCCTCTGATAGGTAGTGAAGAGTTTGTTTCCTCTATGCCTTTACTGTCCTCTAAGCGTCAGTCAGATGTATGCCATCTATATGTGTAAGCTGTAACAAATGTAGGAATCAAACACAATATAGAATGGAAGATTTGTATCTTAGTATGAGAACATTTAGCACAGTTTCAAGGTGACAAATGCAAGCCAAAATAAAGTGACATTGTTGCACTCTTATTTTTTTTAATCAGAATATTTTCTGATAAATATTTTCTTCCTACAGCAGTTGTAAAAGTCTGTACCATCCTTATCACAACACGGAACTGTAGGTCAATATAGAATTATATTTAATTTAGGTCTGGGCATAACATTCAAAGCATATTTAGGATTGATTGCATGCCTTGATATAGCTGGTATTTAAGCATAGAATAATGAAGAGTGCAAGGCAGTGGTGGGATTCACATTTTTTTTACTACCGGTTCTGTGGGCGTGGCTTGGTGGGGGTGGCAGGGGAAGGATACTGTAAACTCTCCAGTCAGAGGTGGCATTTGCTGGTTCTCTGAACTACTCAAAATTTCTGCTACCGGTTCTCCAGAACTGGTCAGAACCTGCTGAATATCACCACTGGTGCAAGGTCCAGATTGAGAAAAACAAAATTTATTTACAAACATGCAAGCATACTAACTCAGCATTTAGTTCTAGAAATGTGTGAAACGGCAAAGAGCCCTAATAAAAATATTACTTTGAAAAACAAGTTTGAAGTATATTACCATGTAGCTAGATTTATGCCCCACTCTGAGAAAAGCAGGGCTTAAATATTCAGACCAATAGCTGGCAAGGAGTTAACTGCATGTGGCTGTGGCAGGGCGGTCCAGTGAAGAAGGCAATAGGAAAAGGATGCAATCAGCTTCTAGGCACTTTTGGAGGAAGTGCTGATATAAGAAGCTGCATAAGGAAAGGTGTGTAAGAAGAAATCAAAATAATTTCCATTGAAATGGTAAGTACTCTTTTTTCCTAGGTATGTGACATAGCCCAAAGACTGTGGTTAAATAGTCAAGGGATGGTGTAAGCTCCTCTCTGCAATAGCACTGCAATTGGGAAAAATCAGTGTATCCACTTTAAAGGACTCATTGTTCTCATTAGAAGAATGCATTAAAGCATTTTGTCTAGATCTAGGGTCTTCAAACTTGGCAAATTTAAGACTTGTGGACTTCAACTCCCAGAATTCCTGAGCTAACATGATTGGAGGAGGAGTTCTGGGAGTTGAAGTCCACGTCTTAAAGCTGTCAAGTTTGAAGACCCCTGGTCTAGATACATGCAGTCAACTCTGCAGCTATGATTCCAAGTATGCGAAATAGGGGCTGGGGAGAAATGTGACTGAACTATGACTATCTTGAACAGCACAGAATACAATTATAATTAGCCAGATGTGTATTGGTATGTACCTCTAGGTTATACAGTTGGATGGTAACCAATATGACTTATGTGTTTATATGCCTAACCAAATTGGAATGATCTGATCCAACTGGAAAATATTATATTAGATTTAACTCTGATTTAAGTTTAAAAACCATATTCAAATTCATTAATAACAAATATAGGAGTAGTAACTAGAAAAGCCTGAAAATTTGGCTCTGCTGCTGCCTGGCCTGTGACATTGGGGATGGCTGATGGTGTAGAAAAGTTCCTCACAGATCTGCAGAAGGAAAACAGCAAGTTCTCAGAGATAAGTAAAATTTTTAACAATCTGGATTATGAATGCCAGATACCATAGATAGTACAAAGATAAGTATAACAATACATGAGATACTGACTCAACCTTTATATTGGAGCAAACATATGATTACTTTATAGGAAAGTCGTACATAGCCTACTATCTTCATAATATGGATCAAGTTGAGCTAGAGTAAAAAAAAACTTTTTTTAAACTTGATTCTATAACTTAAGATACTATAAACTATGAATTGTCCATGATGAACCTGCAATCACACCACAATAAGGTGGGTTATTTTGGTCCTATAATTTTGAAGATCTAAATCCCGAATCCTCTAAGTCAGGGGTCCTCAACCACCGGGCCGCGGACCGGTCCCGGTCCGTGGAGCACTCTGTACCGGGCCGCAAAGAAAAAAAAAATTAAAAAATGGCGGCTTTCTTCGCCTTCGGTGAATGCTGCTGGGATCGGGGATCAAGGACACAAATGAAAGAAGGGGAGGGAGGAAGCAACCAAAGCCTGTCCTGCTCTCTGGCTCAGCGGCTTCGGTTTCCTCCTGCCTCGTTCCTCTCTCAGTCGCTCTCTCGCTGCTCCACCAGCCCAGGAAGAAACTGCTTCAAAGAAGCCGGGTGGGGGGTGGCTTTTCCTGTCGCCGCAGCTCCTCTGAAGCGCCCGTTTTTACCCCCACCCCGCCCGCCCGCGCGCGCTTCAAATCAGTGGGGCCGAGGCGGGGCCAAGGCGCTCCCTGAACTTGGTGGTTTGCTGGCAGACGTTTTATTACCCGACTAGGTAACAACATCAGATGTTACCTAGTCAGGTAATGAAACGTCTGCAAGCAAACCACCAAACTCGGATTCTCCCCCCCCCCGCGGTCCTTGAAAAAGTGTTTGTGCTTGAAACTGGTCCCTGGCACAAAAAAGGTTGGGGACCACTGCTCTAAGTTATATTAATGATCTAGCTGGGTTAGATGATGATGTTGCAAGAAACACAAAGCTATAAGAAACCAGAGTGGAGTCAATCTTTTGAGAGATGGGAAAATTTATCCAGCAGATTAAAGTGAACAAGGGGCTCAGTGTGCAAAATTTGTTTCAGTCAAAATCTGAGCTAGCAGTGCTTCAGGCAGGCCTTAGGAGAGATGTGGCTAAGATGTTAACCGAGTATGGACATTTGAAGTTGATTGAGGCACACTAAGTATGACTTCTTGAGATCTAATAGAACTCACCCAATGTATTATTCCAAGAGATATTAGAAGCCAGTGCCTAGATACTTTAAGTCCTTAACAGACTCTGCATCACAGAGGTTTGATATAATGAAATTATCAAGCTGAGAAGACCGATGGACTTGGTCAATAGATATTCTGGCTAATTTATTGCAGAACCTGCCATGAGGGATGGAGTGAAAGACCACCTTTAAATCAATAAAGGCAACATAGGCCACTTTAGAAGTGCTAAAGTATTTTTCAGCTAAATAGTATAGAATTGGACATTGCTCCTTGGCAGTGGTGGGATTCAAAATTTTTTACTACCGGTTCTTTGGGCATGGCCATGTGACTGAGTGGACATGGGGTGTATTTTTTTGCTATTTGCTTTTTGCAGCACCATCATCACCCCAGTTTTTTGGGCCTTCTGGGCCTCAGAGAAGCCTCCTGGGAGGGGGCGTTTTTGCTCCCAGAAGGCTTCCCTTGGGCTCAGGAAGGCAGAAAATGGAGCATGGGGGAGCACAGCACCCCCCAATTCATTTTGGGGCCACCCTGGGCCTCAGGGAGCCCCACGCTTCGTTTTTGCCTTCCTATGCCTCAGGGAAGCCTCCTGGGCAAAGCAGTAAGTAAGTGAGGGGAATCCTGACACAGCTGATCTTAGGAACAGCTGATTGTCAGGAGAGAGAAAAAAGAAATACCTTAAGGAGTGACTAGGCGGGCGAGCATCAGGCAGACGAGGCAGGGTGAGCAAACATCGGGCGGGTGGGGCAAGTGAACAAGCATGATTGGGTGACCGGCTCGGGGGCATGGCCAGCCAGAAGTTACTACCAGTTCAGCAACCCAGTGCAAACCGGCTGAATACCACCACTGCTCCTTGGTAAAGCATCCTGATCTAAAGCTTGTTTGTTCAGTACTCAAGATATTCTCTGAGTGTATCCAATCAATGAATGTTGTAGACATCTATAATTTACTAATAAAAACAGAGGCTGCTGGACTTCCATTAATTTATTTGGACCTAAAGGACATGCCTGAATAGTAATGTTTATTTTTCATCCACAGTCTTTGGTCAATGGGCAGTTCTGGTACAGATGGGAAAATGACTGCTTTTTGCTTACTATTATTAGTTGGGGTAAGTAAGTTATCTTTAAACTTAGAGAAAATAACGTTTTGGTTTTATGCAACAAAATGCACAAACTATGCAGTAAAAAGAGAACCAACTCTAGGTTAGAAGTTGTGTAACCAAAATGTATTTGTGGCTGGCTTGATTATGATATGGGCACCATTCCAGAAAAAAATAGTATATTGCACTGGAAATCATTTTAAACCAGATGTTTTACTTCTTATTATCAGGGACAATTTCCTGAAATGGTCACATGTAGCATGCAATCTTTTAGAAAGCAAAGTCTTCTTTCCCAAAGTTATTAGAAAAAAATTCATTAATACAAAATCTTATGTGCTATTTTCTGAGTTCAAAGTGGTTTTGATCAGAATAAAATGATATTTAAATTTAAAAAATTAAAAGTTTACAAAGAAGTAGTAAATTTTAAAAAATCAAACATAAGGCTCCTTGGTGCTCTCTGAGGTTGGTGGCTTTCTTGCAGGTATTTCATTACCCGAACTATGTAACATCATCAGTGCAAATAAAGCATTTTTTAAAAAATGCTAATGCCTAACAGTGGTTTCATAGGAGTGTTAAAAATCTATACACTAATTTAAAAAAACCTTTCCTATAACTTTTAAATGGGAAAAAAAATGCAACACAGGGCAAAACATTTTGAATCAAGGGATGTCAAATGAGCTAACTTACAGAATGCCAAAATGTCAAAAATGTCAAAAATCTGAGTTCGGGGACTCCTGTGGAATTGAAATCTGACAAATTTAGAAGACATTTTATGACATAAAAATGATCCTAAAACAGTTTTTGATGTAATACAAGATGTCATAAAAGATTTTCCTGCACTGATGTTTTACTGTGTGCTGTATAATTCAACATGGGATATTTTAAAGGCAGATACATCTCTAAATGTATCGTAGCTTTTCCAGTGGTTCCCAGTACGTTGAAGGCATTGAGGAGAGAAGAAATATATCTGAAAGGATGACCCAAAGAATGGATCATGGTTGTCTAGTTGAATAATAAAAATAGAATGCTTATTTATTTTATTCAGAGACAAATTGATCTCTGTTTTCTAATAAACTAAGGATAGTCATTTTACTTTATTAAAATAATATTTAAAACCAGGGGTGGGATTCAAATTTTTTAACAACGGGTTCTGTGGGCATGGCTTAGGTGGTGGGCATGGCTTGGTGGTCATGTGACTGGGTGGATGTGGCTTGGTGGTCATGTTATTGGCTAGGCGTGGCCAATTCAATATCACTCACATTGAGGCACGCTTCTCCTTGCCTGGCCTCTCATGACTGTGGGGATTAACAGAGAGGCAGTTTCTGTAAGCAACACCAGAATGCTTCCTTCCTGCCTTCCTTACAGGATTAGGCCAGTAATTTCTTCTAACAACCGGTTCTCCAAACTGCTTAGAATGTTAACAACCGGTTCTAACGAATAGGTGCAAACTGGTAGAATCCCACTCCTGTTTAAAACCATATAAAACAATTGATTGTAGATTTCATAGATTTTGACTTGCCTAGTTACGTACATTGCATACTAGATTTTTTTCAAGTCTAAGGAAGGTTATGAAGAACAGATATAAGGCACAAAACTGAAACATTACACAAGTCTGATCTATTCACATTTGAGTAAAGAATTGTTAATTAGAGATAATTCTTTTGTAAGTGATGTGTTCCTCCCTTAAGAAGTTTTAATTGCCAGAAACTATTAACAGCAATTGTTTTATATTATTTCAGAAAAATTTCACTTGTTGAACTCCTGTCATTTAGCAATTATTAGGATCAGAGAATCTCTCTCTTATTATTAAAAAAGTACTAAATCGCTCTGCGCTTTTCAGGGTAAAGATAGCCTTGCGGTCTTTAAATGGCCTGGTATATTATTATTTGCAATAATATTAATACAGTTGTATTAAAAGAAGCTTCTTCTTTCCTGATGCTATTTATTCCTCTGGCAGGACTCCTCTTTCATGTGGATGCCTGGACTTACCACTATGGGGCCGAATCAGACCTAACTTGGAAAGACGCTCGGACATTTTGCCAGACCTGGTATACTGACCTGGTAGCAATCCAGAACAAAGAAGAAATTGCCTATCTCAATGACAACTTACCGAAACATTCAAAGTACTACTGGATTGGGATCCGGAAAATAAACAATATCTGGACATGGGTAGGAACCAGAAAAGCCCTGACCAAAGAGGCAGAAAACTGGGCTTATCGGGAACCTAACAACAGGCTGTCCAACCAAGACTGTGTTGAGATTTATATTAAGAGGGACTTCGAAGCTGGAAAATGGAATGATGAGCCTTGTGGGAAGAAGAAACGGGCACTCTGCTATAAAGGTAGTGAAATATTCCTTATCGAGTAGTTATAAGAGTTTCTATATACTCCTCGCAACTGGCTGACAAACCATACTCAACAAATAGTCCTTAATGAGTCTAAGTCTACATGGAGGGAAGTAAGCAGTAGAGTGCCACAAGGTTCTGTCTTAGGCCCAGTACTCTTCAATACCTTCATTAATGACTTAGATGAGAGAATAGAAGGGGAACTTACCAGATTTGCAGATGATACTAAGCTGGCAGGGATAGCTAACACCCAAGAAGATAGGCTTAAGATCCAGATGGATCTTGAGAGACTAGAACACTGGGCCGTATCTAACAAAATGAAATTCAATGTAGAGAAAAGTAAAATCCTCCACTTAGGCAAGAAAGTACCCATATAGACTGGGTGAAACCAGGCTCAATAGCAGTAACTGTGAGAGGGATCTTGGAGTCTTAGTGGACAACCAGCTAAATATGAGCCAGCAGCGTGCAGCAGCAGCCAAAAAAGATAATGCAATCCTAAATTGTATTAACAGAGGGATACAATCAAGATCAAGGGAGGTACGAATACTACTCTATAAAGCCTTAGTACACCTAGAGTACTGCATCCAGTTTTGGTCACCACACTATAAAAAAGATGCTGAGACTCTAGAAAAGGTGCAGAGAAGAGCAACCAGGATGATTAGGGGACTGGAGACTAAGGCATATAAAGAACAGTTACAGGAACTGGGCTTGGCTAGTCTAGTGAAGAGAAGGACCAGGGGAGACATGATAGCAGTCTTCCAATATTTGAGGGGCTGCTGCAGAGAGGAGCGGGGCATCAAGCTATGTTCTAAAGCACCCTAAGACCAGACAAGGAATAATGGATTAAAACTGAGCAAGGAGAGATTTAACCTGGAAATAAGGAGAAACTTTCTGACAGTGAGAACAATCAACCATTGGAACAGCTTGCCCTTGAAAGTTGTGGGAGCGCCATCACTTGAGACTTTCAAGAAGAGATTGGACTGCCATTTGTCAGAAATGGTGTAGTGTCTCCCGCTTGGGCAGGGGGTTGGACTAGATGACCTATAAGGTCCCTTCCAACTCTGATTATCTGTTATCTGTTTGCCTGATGTACTAGCTTGGGATTAGTTTGGGCATGATTGACCCAACTCAGTTTTCTGGGATTGTTTGATGTGTTGAACTATAAATTGACAGCATAAGCTGAGTTCCCAAAAATGCTAGGTCAACATTTGTTTGGGTAAATTTGTGGTGCACTGTCTTGCATGAATATAATCTTAGCTAATGTTAGGCACAGGGAGATAGACTGCAATGAAATTTAAAGTATTTTGATTTTAAGTTTGTCCATAGTTGGAACTGCAGCTTCAAATAATCCACCAAGATAAGATTAAACAGATACGATCTTAGAACATTACAATTGTTCATATCCAAGTAACTTTTTTTTTCAATGAAAGAGATGCAGAGTTTCCTGCTATCAGAATTATAATGAGTCCCATGCTTGTCAGGTTCCTCATGGTGCAGAAAATCCAATTACAGGCAACAAGATAATAACTGGGAAATTAGAATTTGCACCTCTAAAGCCATAGAACCCTGGGGAAAAAATACTAGGGATCCAGAAATCAACCCTGCATTCTCTTAAACTATAAAAATGATCATATGAAAATAATCCATAATTATTATACACCTTTGCTCTTAGGGCATATTTGCACTTATGATTGAAGTTATTCCTGTGTTTTGCTTATGGCTACTTAAATTTAAGCTGGATCAAGAAACTTGTCAAGACTAAAAGGCTCTAAAGCAGCTTGCAAACCAATTTCAGACCAGTTGCAGGCTGTCACATCCTTCTAAAGGGCAATTCTTTGGCTGCTGTGTTATCTTCTTTTTGTTTCAGGAAAATTTTCCTTTCTGGGCATATTTTTATGTGTTCATAAATATCAACCGAAAAAGATGCACAGATATAAAATGTATATGCCTGAATATATAAAAATTCAAAATTAAAAGGTAGTGCTGAGTTTCAAAACAGCAACTTTTTTCATACTAGGCAATGCTCTTAGCTATTGTGCTATTTTAATAGTGATTGTGAAGGTGAGAATACTCCTTGATTAGGCAGGGGTATCAAACTCACTCCCAATGTGGGCTGTATCAGGATTTTCTTTGCTCTTGGGGGCTGGGGTGGGCGTGGCCTGGTCATTGCGGCCGACTTGCCATCTCCGGGATGGCCCCGTGGGACAACTCTGAGCCTATCGTTGGCTGGGCCGCCTGTTTGTCATGTCTGGATTAGAGCAACTATTGCTTCGGTTGAAGGAGCCTTTCTTCCTCTGGAAGGCCACTAGCCAATGGACTATTGAATTTAACCTGTAAGGAAGAAAAAGTCTCCACTAAAGAGAACAAAAGCAATCAAGGGGACCTTACGAGGAAAAGACTACTTTTCAGAGGAAAAGTTTGCTTGGTATGAAATTTGCAGTGGGAGATAGGTAATCCCTGGCACTGTCCATTTCTGCCCTCAAAAAATGGTCATTGTCTTTTCTGGCAATAGCACAACTAGACAATGTAGATATGCCCATAACTTCACTGGAAGTATTCTGGAATGGTAACTCTGCCCATTAACAATCACAACAAAAAATTCATAAGGGTCATAAGAAAATCAATATCAAAATCAATATCAAAATCAAAATCAATCACAACCAAACTACGTTGAACTTTCTTTTGTGGTTACTTCCAGATAAATATTGCAATCTCTACGGAAATACTAGCAACACTACCTCATCACCAGCCATTCCATCTTCAAATAATTCCTGAATATATTTTGTCTAGTAGTTTTCGAAGCATTCTTTTTGATGTGGTTACATGGAATAGTTTGCAGGGGAAGAGTGATTTTTGAAATTGTTACCAACTGTTAACACATTGACAATTCAACTTCATTCTAAAAGGCTGTTATTCAAATCTGCAAACCCATTGAAGATTTTGCACGAAATTTATTTCAGGGTTTCTTCTACAATAGGCCAATAGAGATGGATCTGGAGGTGATGAGAAATGGAAAGTACTCTTCCAAAGAGAAAACAAATGTTCATGAGCATAGGTTAGGCTACTAGAATCCAATATACATATAGAACTGAAGTGAGGGAAGAAAAAAATACAAATTTATGGACTTTGGATTTACTTGGATTTAGTTGTTATAATGCAATCAACAGAAAAAAGAGGAAATGTCACGTCAAAAGACTCTAATATTCTTTGCTTTTTGTTTCATGGGTCTTGGTCCGTGTTTTAATAGAAGCTTGTCTCTCTTAGGAACTGAACAAATATGTTGTATCCATTAATAAGCATGGTGTTGAAAATTATTTCTGTAAAAGTAAACAATAAAACAAAAGGCACTTTTGAGTCAAAGAAAAAATTAACATTGAGAATTATCTGAAATATATAACAAAATATATATTGCATTTATTGAATGTATGATAAGGTTGACATCTAAAGAAATAGAAGTACTACAATATAGTACAAAGATGAAAGTTATTTTCGGTGTTAAGGTTTAAATAGGTGTATTCTTAGCATGAAAATTATAGACATAATTTGTCTATAATTTTAGGTGCTTCTGACACAAATAAAGAAGCATGAAAATGCTAGCAAGAGTTCAGTTGCTAATGGAATTTTCTAAAGAATGTTCTTGAACAAACATTCTGTTCTCAGGACAGGGAAATTAGTGAGGGTTGAAAACAGTAACATATCTTACTTGTTGTGACAGCCATGTCAAATATTGTCTTTTATACCATAGTTATGTATTCATATAGCACATTAATCTTTGATAGATGCAAGACTAGCAGTTCCACAATCTGATAGGAGTGAGTGGAAATAAAACAAAAAAATTGTCACCTTTTGATTTTCAGAAGTTACTAATTGAGAATGATTATTTTTATGGGTAAAATACTGATAATACATGCCAAAGCCCCCTGTTTATCTTAGTTTACCATCACTTTGATATGGCAGAATTACAATGGATCCCATTTGTGAATGATCACCTGTTGGATTGTATGCAAGAGAAATTAGTCATAAGATTCTTGTATCTATCTTACAGTCCGATGTAAGTTATTTCCCTTTTATTGACATGACTTTTTCTTCCAAAAGAAATCTTGTAATTGAAAGAAGCCAAAAATGTTTTAAATCTCTAGTATGTTCATGACAAGAGACAGTTTGGTGTAGTAGTTAAGGCATCAAACTAGAGAGTGGGAGACTGAATTCTCGTCCCTTCTTAGGCACGAAGCCATCTGGGAGACCATTGGCCAGTCATTTTATCTCAGCCCTAGGAAGGAGGCAATGGCAAATCATTTCTGATAAACCTTGCTAAATAAGCTGCAGGGACATGTCCAGGAATTGGACATGATTGAATGGAACAATAAAAAAGCTCACTATGTAATGCTAATCCAATTCTATGTTTTATACAGCTTCTTGTCAACCTTCCTCCTGCAACAAACGTAGTGAATGCGTGGAGACCATTGGGAACTATACCTGCCAATGCTACCCTGGTTTCTATGGCCCTTTGTGTGAAAATGGTGAGTCCGTTGGAACCAATGACATTTTCTTTCTATTGTGATTAGGTGGTATAGAGGCAGTGATCATAAGGTGGGGGAGGCATATTCTCAGCAAGGATAACAGAAATAAGTATTTTGGTTTCCATGACACAGTACAGATACAATCAATATGATTCCCTCGTGCAAGACCAAACTACATGAAAAATGTCACGTCCACTTTGGTCCTCAGTCTTTAAAGCATTACAAGCATTCTATTTCAGCTCTATTATTTTCTCTGGGGGATAGGCTGAACAGCCTCCCAGTTATTTTTCCAAGAAGACCTTGGTCACAAAGGGGAAAAAAATGTTTTCTCTTTGGTGAGTGGGAACTCCTATGTTGTGGTTTTTGTTTAGTGTTGATGAAACCTATTGCTTTTATTTGAAACAATATTTAAAGGAATTCACTGTGCTAACATTCTGAAAAACCCTGCAAATAGCATCAGTCAAGCTGTATCAGTTATATCATAGGGGTGCAGTGGGGGAAGAGAACATGGATTCCTATGGTTAGAACTGAATAACCAGTTGAATTTCTTTTTAGGGATCTTCAAGTCTGATAATGCAACAGAACTTAAAATTATTAAAAGTAACAACAACATATGTTTTTCTATTAAGTTATTTGCAAGCATAATATCAGTGTCTTAAAGAAATGTCATTCTAGCCGCACTGAAAACAGGACAGGACACCTCAAGCAGTTTTTCCTTAGCAACATGGATTGTGCTTCCTCATACTGCAGGTTAGGTTTATAGGCCTAGGCCTTAGGGTAAAGATTGTCAAGAAGTGCCCCAAGATATTTTAGATCATAAGTGGTCTTTCTTTCAGCAATTTTATTCAACAGAGGAAGAGATGAGCCCATGTTTCCATAAAATTAAATCTCTTGCTATTAAAATAATTATCATATTCTTTTGGGAGTTTTTAAACTACTTGAGGTTTTGTATTAATAGACAATTTAGATGTCAAACCCTTGAATTCATCAGAATTTCAAGAACATCCCTATCTTTGTTGCAATATAGGAAAAACAGTTTTGTCAGTGATGTTGATAGTTTAACGTTATCTTTCCATGTCTTTGTTTAGTTGTAAAATGCAACACGTTTGGCCGTCTCCATCAAGCCCTGCTCATGAATTGCATTCATCCGCTGGAGCAGTTCAGTTACAGATCTCATTGCAGCTTCAGGTGTGACAAAGGTTTTACAATGACTGGCCTGGACAACTTGCAATGTTTGTCATCTGGGCAATGGACAGCAGAAGTACCTCAGTGTGCAGGTATGACCTAACATAATTGGTGCCAAGTATTGGCATAATGGACAGGGGTGGGCTGCTGGGGGTTTGCAGGGATTCAGGAGAGCCCCTAGCTAAGATTCTTTGCAGTTTGGAGAACCCCCAAATCCCACTCCTGGCTGGCACCGCCCACCCCCACCCCACCTTTCCCAGGATTCCCCACGCAGCCTATTTTAGATGCAGATAAGCGCAGGGTGTGTGCAGAGGCTCGGGGAGGGCAGGAATGGGTCGGTTTCCAGCTTCCAGGGAGACTCCAGAGCCCGGGGAGGTCATTTTCACCCTCCCAGAGGCTCGAGGAAAGCAGGAGGCCAACTAGGCCACGTCATCATGGCCACACCCACCCATCAACCAGGCAGAGAACCTCTTGTTAAAATTTTTGAAGGATCCTTGCCAAGACCATTAATTGATTGTGGGTTAGCTGAGCAAAAATGGATGGAGGCTTTTACAACCTTGCTATGTTGGGGAATCAGGTAAAATTCTCATCTGACAATTATTTTTTTTATTGTATTATTTAGAAAATAAGAAGGGATAAAAACAAAATTTATACAGATTGTATTTTAATGTGAAAATTTAAATCTTAACCATATTTCCCAAACTACTATGTGAACTAAATTGCTGTTATCTTCTAGATCTGTACTGAATTCGGTATTAAACTATAAATAGAAAGAGATACAGCAGTGCAAAAATAATTCCATAGATAGGGCCATTTGCTCATCAAAATGGATTTCAAAGGAAAACTGTATATAAAGACACATGTAATAGAAGAAATATATTGACCATGTATTTTGATTTTGGCAATAGGCCTTAAAAATTACATATCAATGCACAAATGAAATAAAATATTCTTAAAATAATTGCTATTTATTTATTTTTCTTTCTCATTTTCCACCTGTTTTGCAATTCATCTTTATTTCCTGTTTTTCTAGCTCAGAATGCTAGTTTTTATGCCATGCCATGTTCATAGATATGCGAGAAATCCAGTGTTAACTGTTTACCTACCTACCTTTGCTAAACAGGCTGTACTGGATTCTGGATTCTGTAAAATTCAACAGCTTGTAGCCTCATTTGTGACAACAATAACAAATAATTATATCTATAAAGCCAAACTTATACTAAATATACTTTTACACACTAATATTGTATAAAGTAATAATGTATATGTAAAATGTGCTAAAATAAGTACTCTATATTGTTGTAAGAAATAGCCTTCTGGGTTCAGTTCTAAACGGGGGGGAAAAGACACTGGAAACATGGTGACTGCTTGGAAAGATGGTTTAATGGTGGACAGGATCACATGCCTTGGGTGAAGAAAGAAAGGCAGAGATGTTGAGAGTCCCTTGATTTTTTACCCTCTGTTGCAATTTGAATTTGAGTTTGTATTCTGTTTGATTGTCAGACTCCCATGAGGCCATACAGGGGCAACTCTATAGGCTGTCCTGAGTCCCAGGTTTGGTTGAGCCTTGCTGGATGATGATGTAATGAAAGAGCTTTGGGCAATTTCTATAATAGCTCTACCTGGAGTAGATCTTTGTTATGTAAAATAGACTGGCCTAAGCCGGAGTAATGGTCTATTAGCAAAGGTGGTGGTGGTGGGGCTGAGTTTCTGCCTCTCTGAGTTTCTACTTTTCTTTTTAGGGGAAATATTCTGCCTTTTTAGTATATTCTAAAATATTTCATTTTCCTAGGAGAGGGGTGGGCTTTAACTTCCAACAGTATATTTCAGTTTGTCTCCAGTTTTCTATATTTTCTAAACATGATTTTTCAGCATTTCAAATTTTCCAGAATGTTTACATCTTTTGTGGTGAATGATGATTTCTTTCTTTCCTGCCCTTAGCTATCCCGTGCCAGCCGTTAAATATCCCTGTAAATGGAAACATCAGCTGCATTCATATCCACGGGGAATTTCATTACCAGTCTAGTTGCAACTTTAAGTGCAAAGAAGGCTTTCTGATCAACGGAGCGGAGACCACTATGTGTGAAGCCTCTGGAGAATGGACTGCTTCAGAGCCAACCTGCCAAGGTTTGGGGCTTTCTATTTCTCTTCTA